GTCCCGAAAAAGGGATCGCAGTATTCGTGGATGATTTGCGAAGGTCGCTGCAAAAATCACGAGCAGCATGATTTCAGCTAAATATCCATCGTGTATATATTTTCTGACATTCGAAATCTACTATAATGTTCCAACAATATTTTTCCCCGCAAAAATGAAATGAAGGGCGGTTGGAAACTTGTGGCCATTTTTACGTGCAGGAGCACCAGTACACATGGCATAGGGTACAAGATTCAAAAGGTCACATTCTTCATCAGTCTCACATTCTGAGATTCCAAATCAAGTATTATCATTCGATACCTACGCAAAAAAATGTCTGTGCTCTATAATCCGCCAGGTGTACATTTGCATGAAATTTTAGCATGACTCCTATTTGAAAGAGGGCACGGGAACAAAAGATGGGATGAATTAATACTGCACTGAATATATACATCAGTGACATTATGCACGATAGAGTCACTGCAGCGAAAAGAAGACAAAAGAAATCACAAGATTTTGGAATTAGTTGTTTTTTCAAAATACCTGGCACGAATGCAAATCGCTTCAAATGAAGTCGTTGTTACGTACCGTAAAGTGCTCATCTACGCTTTTACCTCCACTACAGGAAGGGGTCGGGCGCTTGATACGCGATTATCGTATAAAACCATGCTTGGCTGCGCAAGATGTTGGTATAGTGAGAGTGTGAAATAAGGTTGACTGAAGCGGGTTTAGGACACATTAGCCACATTCTAGTAGCCACACATGTGAATGAATTCGAGTCCGTGAATGAAAATGAAATGGTAATGTGTTCTTTAGTTTGCTAAACCTATACCATCCAATAATTTTTTGTCTTTTCGTCAAGGTTATGATAACTGAGTTACTACGTGAACTTGAAGACAGCGTTGAGGCAAAATCCATGCCCTCCCGATTAGTAGGGCACCTGATTGGTCTGCTCCTCTAATGTAGACGCCGTACGCAAAGAAATGGACATGAAACCCGCGAAAGTGCTATCAAGCCATGCCCGCTCTATCAAACTTCGCCCATCCAGGTACTGGATGACGTTTGGTGGATGCTGCCTTTACGATGTTCGAGTTCTTATCGGAATCGCTGAAGCAGAAAACTGAAGTGAATCTTCCTTCAATCATTTCAGAACTAGTACGGAGTTCGGACTTGCAACTTGATTGGATAATGGAAGTCTCACCGGTATTTGGACTCAGAGATTCGTGTTCTCAATGAATTTAAAGAAGAGGAACTTTCAGATTTTATAGCCTCAAAATTTGTCCCCAATTAGAAAATCGATAGACTATACAGACGACAAAATACATATTTCAGTGAGAGTGACTATTCAAAATGTTAGAGACCATCTCATCACCTCCTGGTAACGAATTTGTGGAGTTTTCTTTGAGTATGCTGAAATCGAGTACTGAATCTACCAATATTCTACATATGCGCAAAGTTTAAGGCACACAAGATCTTGAATGGTTCAATTTTGGAAGACAAAAACTGTGAGAAAAAATCAACTTTCGTCAAAATCTCGAAATGGTACACTTTACTGGCAGAAATAAAGCTGTCGCACGAAATTCGCACTGATGTAAGGATGTTTCGTTGCTTATGGCATAAAAACCAGCTCGTTGTTTCACTGGTAATCGAATTTGAAATCATTGGGTCGGAAGCAAAGCGATGTCATTCTTCTTTTTCCCTGTCTAATTGCTGTCAAACTATCTAAACCACAGTGTCAACCGGCATTTGCGAGACCTTTGGCACGTCCATATGTCGCGCAAAGATGCAAAACGGACAAAAAGAGTAGCATTCAACGTCAGTTGTCATGTGTGATTTTGCATGTCTGCTTGGATTGCAGAAAATCTCAATCATCGAACGATTAGAATTGTTAGATTACTGTTTGCCGGATCCGAGCGAAGACACCGTGAAGGGTGAGCTCCCTGAAGGCACCGTCAGCATTCCCTCAAATAAAAAGTGTTGACTTCCGTGAAACCATCGAATGTACTCCTTGAATCAACTGTCGTGTCAAGCTACCGTATAGCTACCGTATACTACCATTTTGCTGTTTACGGTAGAATCTAAACTTTTTATTCAGCTGCGTTTCAAAACAATTAGTAGAAATCAAGGCAGACGGAAGAAGAGCTTCAGATGGTTCGCAAAATTTTTTTCAAGCATCCTAAATGGTTACCATGCGATACATAGATGCCCTGTTAGGTTTTATTAGCTACAGACGCCCAAGGCGCAGGCTTTCTTCATGATTAGTAGAAAGCTTGAATCTCTAAAAAGTAGCTGCATTGCGTAAAACCTTTGAGAATTGCAAAAATAGAGGAGGACCTTAGAAGGTTTCTCCCTTTTTGCTTGGAGGACGGGAGAAAGCCACAGAAAATTTTTCCGAATAAAGTTGCGCGGTGTCAACCATGCATTCCAAAAATTGCTTGGGGTTCTCTTCAAATTTTTTCTGGGCTCATAACCATTTTTACGACTAACCTGCATTTTGTAAAATTTTATCAATTGTTTCAATTGTTTACAAGAATAAGCACATTATTTTTATGACCCACAAAACTTTTTGAAATTTTGCGGCGCCGAGGGGGGGGGGGGGGGCTCGGTCCGCCACTACTTGGTGGAGTGAACGATAGCTTATCAAAATTCACCGTCAAACCAAGCAAATCGACAGCTTGGTTTTGTGCCTTGGTTTTGATTCTACGTGTCATACTGACTAAAGTATAAGTATGGCTCTATAGATTAGGTGACACAATGACTTATAAGAGAATTCTAACGTCTAAAATGAGCAGTTTCCCAAGCACAAGGCAATTTTCTGCTTTGAACACATATTTATCTCTTCTCACACGTAGTCAAAAATTCCCGTATTCAAACAAATGCAACCACTTATCCCATGAATGCTAGGTTCTTAGCGGATGATTCACAAAGCCACAAATATTTCATTTGCTTACGGTAAGGGACTAATCGCGCGTGGGAAAACAAGCATGAGCGTTGTGCATTGTGAATGGGACAGCGTTAGTCGTCATATACGAGAAGACTATCCATGCCGCTTTTGGTCAGCATCCCGAAAATCGACAAAACGTCTATTTTCAAAATTGTCAAACATTAAACGAAATTCTCAGAAACTTGGCTTTCAAAAACCCTGGTACTATGTTATAATCATAAATGAGGCATATTATTTCAAATTTCAATAGTGCCAGATGAAAAACGCTGAATTTAAGATTGGAGGGTTCAGAATGTATGGTTTACACTCTGACATGGGGACTGAATCTATCGTTAGTGAAGAATTTTTAGCTTAGACAAACACTTATACGGCAACTTCACTTATTCAGAATTCATATAATAATTGTACTAACTTACTGCTTGGACACATTAATGACGCATGTTGAACATAAGTTAGTAACTGTTCAAAATTTGTCTTGTAATAAGATTATTCATAGTGTTATTATGTTTGCCACATACATTAAATTTATTCACATTTACACATTTATTTATCAAACTGTTAGTTCTGACTTAGATCGAGTATAGCTGGTCCAGCTAAGACCACGGAGCTATACATGCAGTATTTTCTACATACATATTAGCATTTATACGCATATTAGCATTTACATTTATACACGTATCTATTAACCCGTTTTTCTAACGGACCTTGCACATGAACCCGCGTTTAGCTGAGACTATAGATCTGCTACGCCAGCTATCTCCTGAAAATGTCAAGCTCGGCATTCATAGTAGTTTCATAAAAGATGAATGTGATAAACGACATAATAGGTTAGAAGTCTTACATTGGCAAGCATTCGGAAAGGCTCTTGTCCTCAGAAGCACTATCCCCTATTGTACAAAGTAGCATCTTAAAGTTTGTGAGTGACTGAGCCGTAGACCTCGCTGTTATGGCGGCAGATGATGGTTGTGTCGCTTTCTTTGCTTTTTTCTTGCCTTGAATGTGTATAATTTGGAAATAGAAATAAATAAGCATGAAATTACCTACCTCTAATTTTACATGCTGCGCGTTAGACGGATCCCAATCCAGAGTCACGTCCGGCAGTTGTGGAAGAATTTGGAGAGACATGATGGTAAATTTGCGTCTGCTTTAACGTGCACCCGGGTCGGAAGCTATATGGGTTGACAATTGCAGAAGATGCACCAAACGACGATGTCGAGTCCAGCGGTGATGTCGTCGTTGACTTTGATGAAGAAGAAAGGCAATATGTAAGCGGAAGTGTTTGTTCCCATGGCATATCGTATCTGGAACGCAAATGCACTTTACTCGAGTTTTCCATAAATGGGTAAAACTTAAAGTGTGACGCCTATTAGTCAACAAACTGCATATTTCATCAACGTGCAAGTGATATATTACTCTACTATTTGAATGTGCAATTTATGCATGACAACTATACACCAGGCTGAAGGAATGTCCGGCTCACCTATTCTCTTCCTCTGAGATTTTGCAGTTTGGTGGAAAATATGGCTGACAGCGCGTCTTTACCGTAATCTGCCGATGAGACCTAGAAGAAATATTAGAAGAAATACCCTAGGTAATAGGGAAGAAAGTTCTGTTTTTGAAATGAACCTTCACAAACCTTTTCTGTCTAAGAAGAGCAACAAGTGCACAAGCAAAACTCATCGAAGACAGAACAGAGATCGCTGCCAGTGTTAACACAGAAGCTTGCAAAATCTTGTCGTCACTCTTTAATCGGGAAAAAATCGAAGTTGAAGAGGCTGACGATGGATCTTCTGGCATCTAAAACTGGTCATTGAGGAACCACATATAGTTTACGGTGAAAAGGATGAGAAAGTGAATAGTAGAAGCCCTTATTGAGCGGAGCATCGAATATTTGAGAGAGCCATTGACACTTACGCAAGTGCTAAGGAGCATATTGTAGCTTTAGTTCTGAGGAAAAGTTAATTAGAAAGCTGAGATTTTGTTGTAAGGGATGATGAGATGGTCGTAAAAGAAATATCAAAAGAAGTAAGTGTGAGACTCCTCGTAATTTGTATTCGCCATGGTTATAAGGAATAACTTATAACAATAAGGGCCATTGACTAGCCCTCTGTTCGATGAGCGCCACATCCGATGGATCCGGGCACCATGGACATCTCTCCGTATGCTTCTCCACTGCCACAGTGGCGTTAAAACATCTGGCCCGAATTTCAATCATCCTTTTGCCCAGTTCCTCTTCTGGCATTGGGGTGGTCGTGACTGTCGCCTGGCGTCGCCTCCGTTCCTACGAAAGAGTTAACTCACAACTGTGTGTAGTACCGTATGCCCTTTAAGCTGCATAGCTTAACAGTGTTAGAAATACAAAGCTCACCAAGAATTCGTCGATTCCATCCGGAAAGGCCCGAACTAACGCGGTATGGTCACAGACTCGTGGAAATCCATAGAGCGGATCGGTGCCAACCACCTGGCACCTAAGCTTCAGACCTTTTGCCCAATGGGACACGAATGAGCGCGAGGTATGCTGAAGTAGAATAGTAGATGGTAATTTCACTGTATAAAATACAGGGCTATAGAGAATTCTGTGTTCAAGCTATGTTGAATTTTACAGGTAAGACTTTTTGGCATGTTTTCTACTTTCTACTGGACTTGTTCGAGCAAAAAGCGAGTTCGATACATATTTATCGAGAACTCTTCGGCTTCTCTTTTTTCTCCAGATCCCTGACCCTAAGCATGATCGTTGGGCTGACCGTTTATGGACATTAGAATAGGTAAGCGACGCAAATAAACGCTCAGTGAGCAGAGAGGAAAAAGAATGTGAAGTTTAGAATGCGGGAAAACAACGTTGGCGAGCACTTTACTTAAAAAAATTATGAATTATAAATTATGGAATTCTTTAAAACTTATGATTGGCATTTCAAAATTATGCGCAGTAAACAGAAAATCGATAGCTTCATCAAAATGGCAGAAGAGAAGGGAGTGCAATCTAGAAAAAAGTCATAAAGTTACCTGCACAAAATGCTCGGAGATAGTCCAGCTGATAGAGATCTCCTCAGTTAGTGGGAGCAAATCTCCAATTATCTGGAAGCGATCATTCTTGAATGTGTCAGGTACATCTAGAAATCAACATACAAATATGACAAGAAATTTACCTCAAATCTGGGGTGAGAACAACCGGCGGTGGTTAGACATCCTTCACTCCAGTCCACTCTCAGCAAATCGGCGGTCATCCAAAATGAGTCCGCCATCACGGCAGGTAGAATGAGCAACAATGGCAACATCTATAATCTATTATCAAAATGTGTTAATTATCTGCGACTATATCATGGAGCATAATAACGAAGAGCGTGAATGGTGGAAGAGCATGGGGCGGAGCCGATGGCCGTCTTCCAGCCCTCCTAATTACGAATGCACGCAAAACGAGGAAAGCTTAATTCAGCGGATAATCTTTGCCGAGATCAAAGGTGAATAGAAAGATTATGAATGGTTGCAAAGGAAGATAAGAGGATCTCATTCACAGCTGAGAAATGGCTGACGTTGAGGCATATCTATCTTACATGTGACCAGAAGTAACTTTAAAAATTTGAGTTAGCTACCAAATTTTCTCGATAAAGTGAACTGTAAAAACAGAATGCCTTACAATTCCAGACCTGCATCCGAAATCATTTACAATATCTACACCTCCGTAAAATAGAGCTATATGGAGGTGACGAGTACCTATGAAGGCAAGTGAAGTATAAGTAGCACTTGCTAAGGTCACTAAGCTCTGCAACTGTCAACAACAAACAAACCGATAAGGTAACGCACGCGTCGGCTGATAATCTATTACAGGGTATTAAGCGGACCATCGTATCTGGCAGGGGCATTATTACGCTTCAGTGTCAAATTGGTTTACCTTATAAACCCACAACCTGTCTACCGTACTCAAACGTTGAAAAGATATCTGGACGTACTTGAAAGTCATGTGGATACAATATATGGAGTAAACCAGATGTTGTCCTGATCATCAAATATTGGGTTGCCACAAAATCCAAAATCTTTGTAGTGGTGCAGTTTCTCCCGAAATCATATTTCCCAGCTACGAGGAGAAATTCTAGGTCTGTGGGAAATCTTCACTTTTTCTGATGTCTGGATTCCGTCTGCAGAGCAGTAATGCAGATAAATCCAGACATGCAGAAAGACAAGAAGTATTAGGAAGCTCCGAAAGTTTTGTCGGTTGCTCACTTGTCGCTCACTAAAACTCACAGAACACCAATCCATAGACGGCTTAGGCACCATTAATTCAGATTTTTATCCTCTTTCTTAAAGTTGTACTTGCTTTCTGATCTACCCTGTTTTTGCAATCTTATCGCCATGGCTTTTGAGCAGCTCAGCGGTAACGCCAAATCTTTCCCGAATTTTAAAATTTTTTTTATTCTGAAGTTCTCAAAGAGCACTGGTGACTGTTATGTAGAGCAAACCTTTGGCAACATAGTGTCCATTTTAAATTACATGAGTCGCGTTTACCAGTTCGTTATAATTATTTATTCAATAAAAATCGCGGCTTTGTGAATAAGTTTAACACGTAAAAATACCGAAAATTCCAAAAAGCTGCTCTTCCAAAGCAAATTAAACTTATGCTGCATAAATGATATTTACTAAGAATCATGTCTCAATTCGCGAAACTTCAAAAGCTTTCTTGTGTGTTTTGTGCAGTTGCGTGTTTTATGACTTTGCCAGAAATCGAGACACTAAAGAAATATCTTTTTAAGGCTAAACGCAGCAGATTAGGAGAATCTAAGATTATCATCTTATAGTACGAGAGTTGCTCTATTTGATCCATGCTTAACCCTATTCGAAACTTTGTAATGAAATTTTTAAAAAGTGGCCCAACTTTGAGCAGGTGAAATTGACGGGTGGAGAATTTTGGCAATTCTCAAAAAACGTACAAGATTGTGGTTCAAAAATGTATGCATGAGAAAGAGAAGGAAAAGTTGCATCAAATGCATGTAAAAACTCACTCGGGTCTTTATTGCGCGTGGTTTTACAATGGTTTGAAAAAACCGACAGAACTTTCGGGACAACCTAATAAAATCCTTTTTAGGCCCATCTACAATGAACTGATTTTATGGTGGTAAATCAGACCTGCATTCACAAAATGCGAGACGAGTTTGTGAAAAAAATCGCAAGTAATTTCTTTTTCTCCAACTAGCTTGAGTGCCTTATCAAGCGGTGAGATACAAAAAGAGCCTAAGGAGCTGAAAAAAAAAGAGATTCAGCAATATTCCCACTCCTACGCTGGATTTCTTGATAATTGCTTTTACCTAACAAGTTGCTGCACTTTTGATTATGAGAAACAATAAGAAAATGTCAACTGCCAGAAACTAACTCTAATTTCAGAAGTAGAAGTGATTGTGATTCTATGCAAAGGCTCCAGTAAAAAAATTTGGCACAAGTACTGCTAATAAATATATAGCCAAGATGAAGTGTTGGTTGCAAGAAATTAGCTGGTTCAAAATGTTCAGGAACTGATGTAAGGGGCAAGAGATGCTCGCACCAAGCCTAATGCAAACGACCTTAACGCCAAACTAATTTGTTCTTTAGCTGCGTGACTGACGATAAACATCCTGTGCTAACAAGCTTCAAGGTGTTTCTCGTCATACTTACAGGTCTCAAGGTTGTCCTTGCAGTTTGATCTTTCGAAGATAGTAGAGAATGCATAGAGCGCATTGAGAAAATGTAAAAAATGTTTCGAAGGGTCGTACTTCAGACTTGGTTGATTAAGTGAAGATTAATAGTTTGTAGAATAGCTTTGAAGGGTTTGGAAATATATTCTGACTATTTGGCTTCCCCCGGTCCAGCTCGGGCCTTGTTCCGTTCACCTGCACTGCAAGCCCCCCCCCCCCCCCGCCCTATATGGTATGGATGACTTACCCTGGGACATCCGCTTGGAAACCGCTTCCTCGTGATCCTGTAGTGAAAATGAGCTTCACCGCCCTCCTTTCACGATTATGGGAAAATGCTTGATTCAACATGATAAGCCTTCAGTTCCTTAGAAAAGCGTAAACAAATCAATAAATCCATAGAAGGACCCAACGAATCGCCGCAAAAGTAGCCTATCATCTGCGCAAGGATCGAAAACATATGTGTGCAAAGTTTCAGCGATATCGGTTGAGCGGTGCGCGTTTCTATAACGCACATACCCTCCAAACTGACAATTTTTGAGTTTTATATATATATACTAGATGGCAAACCCGGCTCCGCCCGGGACTAAACTTTGCACACATACACTTCGGGGCAGGTTCAGAAATAAAAATTTCTATTCCGCACATACGTACAGACAGACATACAGACAGACATACAGACATTCAACTTTATATATAAGATATATATATATATATAGATATAGATATAGATAACCGACAAAAGCGATTGCCCAGTTTGATTTCTTTAAGTGGCAGTGTTCAAATGAAACTCAATGAATTTGAGAACGGTGGTTTTTCGGAAGAGTTATGATTACGAGCCAAGCACTCTATAGCGATCACTTTTAAGCGCAGTAGCTTATCAGGATGCTCAGCATGCGTTTCAGATTTGACCAAAAATAGTGTAAACTTAAACACAAGCGGTCACTACACGAAAGTCTGAGAAGGCACATAGCAAACAGATAGAGAAAAGGATTTGTAATGCTAATATAGTGGGGATATTATTAGCGTGAACGGTAAAAAATGGGACAGCTTGATTTTCATTACATTTTGGAATTTTTTGTTTCTGGCAATAGCAAGTAAGCAGCAACTTAAACGTCGCTTACATGGGCGACCTGCGCTTATTATTCTGACAACGCGTTAACGCTCCTCTTCCACTACCCTACACGTGGCGCCGTGAAGAACTCGAACAGAGTTTTTTGCACAATCCTCAATCTTGCGCTGTTATACCGTAAAGTCGTAAAGCAAATGACATACCATTCGAAAGAGCTCTTCATGCTCTTTCGAACGATATGTTAAATGCATGAGATTTCTTTTCAATTTCAGAAAAAAAATTCGAAAAAACCTGAAAAATAGCTATTTTTGGCGCAACAAAAAACCAAAAAATCATGTTTTGCCCTATATTTTCCGAAGATAGATAAAATCTGAAGTAAGCTGCATATGGATGGATAGAGCGTAAAAAGCTCTATCAGATGATACCCAGAAATCATGCGTTTACCTGCAAAGAATTGAATAACGCGTATCTTTATTTTCGAAGCTGTTAATGGGTATATCTCCTGACATTGAGAGTTAAAGCCACCAAGCCGTCGTGGGTTTGGTGACTGTCCCACCACTCACTCCAGCAGCGGTACTTTGGGTGGTCTCACATGTTTCACTGCGCCGATACTGCTCAAACTTCATAATTTCTCGAAGTAACTAACTTTGCATTTTAGCAAGTATAAAAATTATCAATTATTTAAATGACCTTATATAGGTGCTATCTGAAAGAGAATAATTTATTCTAATATCCATCAAAATTGGAAAGTTCAGTCACTTTTCTTCCTTGAGAAATCTGCAATTATTCTCAAGGTGTCCCATTTTTTACCGTTCACCCTTATAGATAGCTTCAAAAAAATTTTCACATAAAAAATTCGTAGAAAGAACAAGAAGCACGAAAAATGTGTGAAGTCTGCGTGTATTCGGCAAGCAAGAGGATATTGTATCCAGTCGTGAACGTTCTTGAAGAAAAAGCAACGATATTGTAACGGGCGTGAAGCATGGCCACATATCACTGAGTGGAAGATAAATAAATGCTGCTGGCTAGCTAAGCACATCTTCAAGCACTGGCGCTTGCACTTTCAGTTTTGCTTTCATTGCCTGGCTCAGTGTTTGTGCACATCCTAAAGTCCACTTCGGCCAATGTGTGAGAAGATTCGCTCTGCAAGAACGAAACAAAAAGGAACAACTAAACAATTTTCAATGGAGGAAGAGCAAATAAACAATGCGGACAGAGCCAAGAAGAAAAAAAAAGATAAGAAAAATACAATAGATCTCTCGCCCACAAAGTGTTCCAAATCCAGGTAGTCCACACAAGTAGTCAAAATTCTGCAGACCGTTTTCAGTTATTAAAATGCCTTGAGGAATTTTGTAGAGATCACTGGCAAAAAAACTTTTCATAATGCTGATTTGATCTTTTTCGTTTTCGAAGATATCACGCTGCGAATAAGGACTTCCCAAAAAAGGATTTTTGGGAGTATAGCTAAGCTACGAACGGTTCATAGATTTCTTCTCCTCTTCGCAAATTTACTATGGGTAGAGGGGGGGGGAAGGAGGAGGAAAGG